ATAACAGAAAGCTGAATATGCGATTTCCAAAACACTACTAAACCGCCACTATTCCCAACAGGTGGAACAGTGACTTGAAAAACAAATTCTAATTGAGCTCCTACATCCCTGATGTAGTCATCTTGCTGTTTTGTTTCTGAAAGGCAAATGATGTCCAGGAGATACCTATTATTGATCTCCTTAAGGCGTCGAACTGTCGATTCACTGCCTAGACCTCGACAATTCCAGCAGAGTGTCCTCATGGTGGAAGAGGTGGTTCTGGGCCCACCACACCTCTCACCTCAGTAGTGTTTCCATCCGTTGCATTATCCTCAGCCATATGTTCCTCGGATCTCAGAGAACCAGCTCTCATCCTTTTAGCATATTGTTCTCCACTCGATTCTCCGTGAAAAAACTTTGTAGGATCCTTAGCAGTCACTAGCCATGCCTTCCTTTTGAGCCCAATCTCATAGTCTGACTTATCCTTCACACCAAAAGGATAAATTGGATTGTACATCTCCTCACTGTTGATATCATCTGAAAACATAGTTCGCTTCCCTGCTCCACTCCATAATTCATCATCATCAGCTTCTTCCTCCTGCATTGCGATGTTCCTCTCATACACCTCATCGTCATGAACAACATCAGGAACAACATCATCGTCTTGCGCTTCATCTTCATTGATCTCCTCAATGATCACACCCTGATTTGGACCAATCTCAGCCTCTTCATTGTTGTTATCCTCTCCACTATCATTATCATCATCTTCAGCACCCAAACCCCCATTCTGAATTACACAGGCCCCGAAGTCATGAGTTAACATACCACAAACCTCACAAAACCCGCGAAGTTTTTCATACTGAAATCTCAGCAAAGTGTTAACGCCCACTTGAAACTGAAAGTTTCTTTGGAACTTCAATGGTTTGGAGATGTCCCAGTTAAGTCTGACACGAAAAAACTCTAACCTTGTCCCCATTTCTTCATTGTAATCCATTTGGATATACTGACCCATGACCCGAGCAATGTGGAGGATAACTTCTCTGTTCATGAACTGGAGGGGTGTTCCTCGAATCTGAACCCAAAATGGGATGAAATCGAGCATTGCCATGTCCATGAGAGGAGTCCAGCATTGTAACACTAACATGCGTTCAGCATAAGCCCATGGACCACGACGAAGAACCGTTTCCATGGCCTCCTCAGATGGGAAAACAAATTGAAATCGTCTTGCTTCGATGATACGCCCACGGACGATCCCCCTAAAACCCCAATTCTGTGGCATCGTCGCAATAATCGCACGGAGATTATGTCGTCACGGCATGACCGGTCTTCCCACCAGGATGAAACGGTTTTCTTCTACTGCTTGTCTGACCACTTCTGTTGGTAGTAGAAAAGGAGGATCATTAGCACCCAAATCAATGTCTTGTAAAGCCCTTCGAATGTTGTCCGCCATGAGCAAATTGATTGAGTAAATTTCCCAAAATAAAAATTTGCCTTGGTGATTATAGAAGAGAGGGATTGATGTTAAACCTAGCCCATGAATTGGGTATATAAATACCTGAAATCCCCAAATCGTGTGGATAACTGCTTCATCACAATAGAACATGGGCTCTATCATGGGGTGACTGACATCATGGGGAGATTTGCCGCAGAAATCTCAACTTTGCCATGAAAAACATCCTCAACCACCAAAAAAGTGGCGAGTAACCGTCGGAAAAATAACTGTAATAAAATCGCCATCAGAGAGAACTTAAACAGTTGTATTTATTGTTTTATATTTTTAAAATTTTTTATTACTAATATTATTAAAATTTTCTACATCTTTTCAAAAAAAATTAATAAAATTTTAATTGTAATATCATTAGTTCTTTTAGATATCGATAAATTTTATAAATATTGTTTAGTTATAATTTTTAATAACTATTAAAATTTTATATAAATTTTCTTAGTAATTATATACAAGTTGATTTAATACATTTAACCAAAATAAATATATAAAAACATTTCTAAGATTCAAATTTTAAATATATTAAATATATATTATTAAATATAATTTAAAATAAACAAATTTATTTTTTCTTAATTTTTTGCTTAACTAAATCAACTGTATATTAAATATTAATCAAAATAATAAGATATATAATAGTAATAAATTTAATTTTAAATATAATTTAACTTTTAAGAAGTTTGTCACTGCACATGGTGTAGGAAAGCAAATAGTATTAAAAAAAAAAGAGATGAGACTATGCTTTTAGTAAGAAAAACTTGCATATTACAAGCATGGTAAATTGGTAATAATAAGCAAGACAACCATAATCAGGTATTTATGATCAAAGATAAAATACTCTATAGTATTATCAATAGATTAAGATCCGCACATTGCGCAAGATGAATATTATGTATATAATTTTTTTGTATTATTATTTATTTTATATTTTATACATATTATTGAATAACCAATTAATATTTATATGTTATATAATTAAGTTGGTGTGAACACATAAATCAAAACAATCACTTTTATATATTTTATAATCAATTTTAAAATTTTAATACAAATTGTGAAATTCAAATAATAATTTCTTAATAATTTTTCAATGTAGTTGAAAATTAAATATTATGTATTTTTATGATATAAAGGTTAATTTAAGCAAACTGATATATATATATATATATATATATATATATATATATATATATATATATATATATATATATATATATATATATATATTAATCTGAAATAAATGAGACTTCCTACTCATATTGTTTTATGATCATTTATATTTTTTATACAAAAAAAAACTAAACTACTGATCACAAAATTTTAATGTGTAACTTTTAATGATTTTAGTGATTTAAAGTCATTTTAAAACATTGAAAATATAACATATACAGAAAGCTAAACTTTTATTATATTAATAATGTGATTTCTTAATTTAGTAAAATTAAATAAAAATGGTAGAGGATACCTATATATCTAATCATATTAGGTAATTTTTAACTTCTATTTAAGGAAAAAAAAGAATAATATTTTTTGTGCATAAATAGTTAATTTTATGATAGTTTAATGAGAACTAAAGTATTATTTAGATGGGCTAACTTATTTTTTTTAAAATATATGAATCATTATGGTAATAACACGTGTCATACCTCAAATGTTGTAATGTTTCTCAAATAATATATAAAGAATTTAATCTATTAAAACAGAGTCTTATTTTTATCTACTGATAAAAAATCATTGGACCATTTCATTAGTAATTTTTATTCTACGAAAAATAATATTTATATATTAAATAATTTGAATAAAATATACCATCACACATAAGAATATTCTACTATAACACTAATTATTTTTGAATATCTGTTATTTTACTTTAACAAAATCTTATAGAATATTTTTTATTATTAATTTTAAATAATGCATTAAATTCGTAATTATTAGTAAAATATTACAAATAAATATTATTTGAGTTTAAGCAAAACAAGAATTAGTTTTTTATAATATATTATTTTAATTTCTAAAGTTAAATATAAAAATTATAAAAAAATAAAAACTAAGAAAAATAAATAAGAAAAGGTAAAAAAACATATATTATATAATTCTATGATTTTTTAGTTTACAGTTGATGTTTTATGTTTGTAAACTAAATTAATTAAATATAACTTATTTAAATAACCAAATCACAAAAGAAATTTTGATCCATAAGAAATTTAAACAAAATCTAATTCCTTTTCATTAGAAAACTTACAAAATTTAACGAAACGGTTTAAACAAATAAACTATTCTAATTTGATTCTTATATAATTATATTTATTTTAAATTTAAAGAAAAATATTAAAGTAAAAATAAATAATATTAAGATATGTTTTTAATAAAAATTAATAAAATATATAATTACATACTAATAATATCAAGCAAGACATATTATGTTACATAATATAAGACACCAAATTATCATAATATATTTTATCAATTTATCATTAAAATTAAATATAAATAATTATAAAAACAAAAACATATTCGTGCGAATTCACGGGTTAAAATCTAGTATTATGTTAATTCTACGTTTTTCTACTTGATGTGTGTTACAACGTTATCAACTATATAATCTGTGTTACATATATGGAAATTCTTAAGTTATTTTATCAGAGTAATTATTTATTTGATTTGAAAGTGAAAATATAAAAAATAAAAATTCATTACTATTATGCTAATTGATTTTAATTTTTAAGCCTCAACTAAAATATAATCGAAGTATGAAAATTAAACGAACGTGGATAAAAATAAAAATAAAACTTGAATGCTCATGACATTAAGCATGGGTGTTTGCTATTTGGTCCGGTTCCGGTTTGGTTTTTCTGGATTTTGGTTCTTTTGGTTCTTGAGATATAGAAACCATTCGGTTGTTTATGAAATTTTTTTCGGTTCGGTGATTTTGGTTTTTGTTTTGGTTCAGGTAACAATTATAAGAACCAGCTAATATCCAATAAACTTTCGGTTACACCTTGGTTCCTGTTTGGTTTTGATTATTTGGTTAGTTTTGAATATTCAAGGTAATAAAATAGATTTTTTTATTTTTGATTAAAAATTGGGTAATTCAAAAAAAAAAATATTTGTATAATAATTTGGGTAATTCGGTTCTTTAGGGAAATTAGGATAATTGTAAATATTTTGGACAAAAAAAATCTGGTCATTCATTTTATAAGTAATATTTTTAGAATATTTGTTACTTTAAATCCTAAATATAATTAATATTTTAGGTATGTAAATTGTATTTCGGATATTCGGGTACCTATTCGGTTCTCGATTCGGTTCTGGTTTGATTTGGTTTTCGGTTATGGAAAAGTACCACTCGATTATTTTTGAACTTCGGTCCAGTTTCGGGTTTGGTTTTTTGGTTGGATTCGGTTTTCAGTTCTCGGTTTTTATGTCCAGGCCTAGTTCATGTCAAATCTGCTCCAAATCTATAAAAATGAAGAAGTCCTTTTTATTGAGTTGTGATACATGGGCTCGTATGAGGTGATGCGCGCATGTGGAACAAATACATGAACAAAGATGCTTAATTAGGGTTCGTAGTATAGTGGATTAGGGAGCTTGAAAGTCCTTCTGCCAGGGTTGTCTTTGGTCAAATCAGCATATTGGTCTCCAATATTCCCAATGATAGTGTGGCCGCTCTTCTCCAGCTTCTTCCTCTCCTTTGACTTGAAGTTTGCTGTCTTCATGTTCGAACCTGTTGGCCTGCGTTTCCACACATATGTAGATGAAATATCCATCCACTCAAATCACACACGATGATTACTGTATATGATTAAGCTAGTTAATTTAAATATTCTTACCTGAATAAGATATGTCTCCAATAGGGGAAGCCAGCATCTTTGAGATTCTTTAGAGTGACTTCCTCGAACTCTTGGAACCGCTCAGTGAGTAAGATGGGTTCAATACCGAGCTCTTGAATGTTATTGTAAAGATGCAGAGTCTCTGGGAGCCCAGGAGCTTCTCCTACTTCTAACCACTTCCTGAACGCCTCGGGGTCGTGCTTCTCTGTCCTAAAATACCAAAAGAAGAAGAAGAAGAAAAAAGTAAAGTTTTACATGAATCACAATGTATCCATGGAGACTGACATCTCAATACAATTAGATCAAATTGACTAAATGTTGGTTGACATCTAAGCATTTTTTTTAAAAAAAAACTAAGAATTATCGGTGTACAAACAAAATTAATAGATTTTATAGAAATTCGTAAAACTATATATGTATTTTTCTTAAAAAAATAAGAGTCTAAAGAGCACCTCCAATGTTGAGGTGGAAAATAAGTTCTTACTATTAAAAATAAATGAAAATTAACAAATTAAGAGAAAGAATAACACAGAAGTTCTTATTCCACAACTTTTGGAGACCGGTTTAAAACTCTAAAAGACATCCGTTGTTCAGACAAAGTTTCAACAGCTTTTAGAAAACTGAACTTATTAAATTATTAATATGTTTTTGTTAGAACCCTCACGGACTGTAGCCGATAATGCTGCTCTAAGAAATTTGAAGGAAAAAAAGAGCAATATCATTTTGCAATGAGATAGACTGAGTGAAGAATGCAACTATGCAAACAAATAGTCTATGTAGTGGTATAGGCAGAACTCATGATTATATATATAGTAATATATACCCGTATCCATGTTTCGCGTAAAATGGGACATTAGAGAGGAGGGTATCATCTAGGTCAAAGATCCAAACATTATAAGTGTCGTTCCGTAAAGCAAGTCCTTTGGCATAGAAATAAGCTTCTTTGCACACTGTTTTGGAGTCATAACGGTACTGCTGGGAAGTGATCAAGTAGTCTTCGACATAGTCTTTGCAATTTGCTGGCACCGTCTTGAAGTTTATGATGTTAGAGGTCTCAACACCAAGGTGCCAGCTTCTGCAGTTTGGGTAGTTGATGGAGAGTCGTAGTTTCACTAAGAGTTCGGCTTCGTTCTCAAAGTTGTTCATTGATGTCAGGAGTTCGTCGAGCCTAGGCANTGGGAAGTGATCAAGTAGTCTTCGACATAGTCTTTGCAATTTGCTGGCACCGTCTTGAAGTTTATGATGTTAGAGGTCTCAACACCAAGGTGCCAGCTTCTGCAGTTTGGGTAGTTGATGGAGAGTCGTAGTTTCACTAAGAGTTCGGCTTCGTTCTCAAAGTTGTTCATTGATGTCAGGAGTTCGTCGAGCCTAGGCACGGGTACCGAAGGCCGACCTTGGGAGACCGTAGCGGCCAAGAGCAATAATAGAAGTGAGAGTGAGAGGATATTCATTTTTTGTATTTTTAGCTATTGTTTTTGTTTCTATTGTGATTTATATTTGTGTGGTAAAATGGGTGATATTTATAGTGAGGCGAGGCTAATTTTACGGTACTATGATTACTTATGATGATACAATAGGAGATAAGGAGATTTGTACGTGTCTGCAAATAATTAGTGACTCCCTTATTGTGTTTAAGATAAGATTCTCACTTGCACCACTCGTTTTTAGAGCACATTGTGACCGTGTTAATTAATTAGGGTTTGGCGTTTTGTTACATTTTTAATTACCATTGGCTTTTAATTTAGTATGATTGGTATAGCTGCTACTTGCAGAAAAACTCACTATTGCGAAGCTGTTTAAGTATTACTTGTGTTCAGGAAATCATATTATATAATATCGATGGTGTCGTCGCCTACAAAGTTTAATTTTAAGAAGACTATGTTCATACATAGAGCATATTCGATCCATATTTCAATAAGGGTGGAAAAGTGTACGTAGACCAATAAGTCCTACTAAATGAAGCACAAACTACAAAAGTTTATGCAGTCATGTATTGTCATGGTATAAGACCATCCACAATGGTAGCACCAAGGGAGGAATCTTTACCAATAAAAAAATAATTTTCTTTTTAAATAGTTAAGGATTCTAATTCAAAATGGTAGGTGTAATTGTGTTATCCAAAATGGAATCCTTAGGAAAAAAATATTAAAAATATAAATTTGAAAAAATTAAAAAAAAATATTGCAAAGTTTTTTTTAAAATGATACAATAACTTTTAGTGATCATCACGAAATTTGTTCCAAATATTCTCAATTAAATCATTTTTCAGCTGTTCATGTATACGTCTAACGCGGAGATGAATCTGAATGCCATGCATTTTCTCGAGATTTGGAGGCATGTAAGCACTATAAGACATATCGACCCTTACACTTCTGGTGGCAACTTCTTCTTCAAATTCCGATGTATCGTACTGAGTGTATCCATCTCTTTTATTTTTGACAATCATATTATGTAGTATGATACACGTTCTCATAATCTTCCCTAACTTTTCCTTGTCCTATGAAAGAGCCGGGTTTTTCACAATCGCAAATCGAGCTTGCAATACTCCAAAAGCCCGCTCCACATCTTTTCGGGTTGATTCTTGAACTTTAGCAAATAACTCGGCTTTTGGACCTTGAGGAAGTGAGATAGATTGGATAAATGTTGACCACTTTGGATAGATACCGTCTGTGAGGTAGTACACCAGATTATACATGTGTCCGTTGACCACGTACTGTACCGCGGGAGCTCGACCTTGCGTAATGTCATCAAAGACATGAGACCGCTCGAGGACATTAATATCGTTTAAGGTACCCGGGAGGCCAAAAAAGCGTGTCAGATCCAAAGATCCTGTGAAGCAACAGCCTCTAAGACAATTGACGGCTTTCCTGATCCACGTGCGTACTGACCTTTCTAAGAAGTAGGGCAGTTCTTCCACTTTCAATGCATACAGTCAATGCTTCTTATTATCTCAGGAAATCCGCGCACCTCTCCAATATCGAGTAGTCGTTGAAGATCCTCTGGTGTGGGTCTTCGTAAATACTCTTCTCCAAATAGCTCGATTATTCCGTCAGTGAAATGTTGTAAACATGAAAGTGCCGTGCTTTTACCAAGTCGGAGATATTCGTCAACCGCGTCAGCCGCAGAACCATAAACAAGCATTCGAATTGCTGCCGTACATTTTTGTAGTGGTAAAAGACCTAACCTCCTGGTTGCATCTCTTCATTAATGGAAGAATGGAAATTCTTTGGAGAGGGCATTGACAATACGCATGAATAAGTCCTTGTTCATACGGAAACGGCGTTGGAAGAAATGTGCCGGAAATGTCGGCTCTTCGCTGAAGTAGTCTCGCCATAGACGGTCGTGTCCGGGTTCGCGGTTTCGTTCTATATAAGAACGTATGTGTGGCTTTTTGGGTTGGGCCTCCAAAATGTTGTTGTAGGTATCGTCTATGAGATCGCCGATAATTTCGTTCAATCTTCCATCCACTCCATCGGATGAAGATGATGACATTTTTGGGTTTCAGTTATTTATTTTTTTCCGTCCTGCCATTAAAAACACCAATTTAAATAATTGGTGCAAAAAGACAAATCTATTTTTTTAAAAAATTAAAAATTTTAATGCAACATAATAGTATAGTTTTTCTTTCTATACAACTTTTTGGATTATATTTTATCATTTGAAAAATCCAAGTGATTTCTGTTAGAGATTCAAACATCGAATGTAAACTGCATGTTTATATGTTCACTTGTTATATGATACGTAAGTGAAATGGAAACATAAAAACTTGGCAAGAAGTGAAACATAGCCACATCTTGCTTGTTTCTCAAGTTTTAAAAACATGATTTGAATTCAAATTAACAGAGGTCAATTGAGGCATTGCAATAGCATTACAACAAAAGAAGTTACCGAATTTATGGAAGCAATAGTAGTTGATTACAAGTCGCTGGAGTAAGCCACAAACATCCGCAACTTCCGTGTTACAAGGGAAAAAGATTACAACTCCGACAAAGGAAACTAGAGATGTGGTGGAAACTAGAAAAAAGCAACTACCTAATGAGATGATACAATGGAACTTATACTAGCTTTTACAACTATCTGTGACTTCTTCTACCTTACGAGAAAACACCTTCATAACCCGTGACCACCTTTATAACCCGTGACTTCTTGTACCTTCTGAGAAAACACAGTTCAGAACCCGTGACTTGTTGTAACTTGTCCAACAGCTACACCTGAAAGAAAACAAAAGAGAAGAGTTAGTAAAATACAAGAAAAAAAATAAAGTAAAAGACAAGAGTTGGTAAAATACAACCCGTAACTTGTTACTTAATATCAAACCTATACTAGCATTAAACAACATGTTGCTAACCTAACCTAATACCTTAATATCATCACATCATCTCAGTCATGAGTTTCACTTTAAGAGATTCTTCCACCTCTGAGAGAGGATCTTTTTTCGCAAGTAAACGTTCTAGAATCTTTTCTTTACAGATTTTATGTTTGACTTCCAAGTGGACTGAAGCTGTGACATTTCTTCTTCCTTCCCATTCTTTTTTCTCTTGCCAGCAGCTTTAGCAGCTTTGACTCCAACTGGTCTGGTTTCAGGCTCGGGAACTTCATCTTCTGTATCAACGTCGACAACTTGTTTGCGCTTCTCTGTCCCACCGTCTTTAACAATATAGGTTGTGCACCATTTCTGGTCATGCCTAAGCTCCCTCCACGCATGTTCAAGGCTGAACTTGTGGCCGTACAATTTGAAGAACGAGTCCAGAGCATCTTTCATCACATCGTCTTCATTATGGCCACTACCTAGCCCCCTCAACGCCGCGTCATAACAACCAACGAACTTACATACTTGCTCATTAATCCTAGCCCACCTCTGCTTCGCTGGACCAAGCTCTCTAGGTACCGTCCCAATCAGTTGAGGGCTCTCGTTGTAGTAATCTACAATTCTCTTCTAGAAACAGTCAGCTTTTTGGTCACAACTCACAATGGGATCTTTGCTGGTGTAAAGCCACACACCAATGAGGATTTTATCCTCATTGGGAGACCATTTCCTCCTCTCTTTGCTAGCATACTTTACAGTAGGCTGGACAGGGGACTCAACACCAGTATGGAAAGAAGGCTCGACTCCCTGTTGGAAACAAGACTCATCAGGACCTTGCCTACCGAACCAAGCTGGTTCGGGTGACTCAAGATCAACTGACGTTTGACTATACAAAAGATTAATAAAGCCAGTTGGGGTATTCATGTTTAGATTTTGGTTTGTGTTACTCTATTACCAACACAAACCCTTAAGAAACCAATAGAAAGTAAGTACGCATTTAGTTTCAGAGTAGTTAGGCAGATAGAAAAAAAATCAAAGCATTTACCACCACTCTAATCACAGTAATAAATTCTACACTAGCTACGTTTAACCTAACAAGTACGAAGGCATCAAATCTAGCGTTAATAGCCATTCAGGCATGAAGAGAGAAGTTATTTTTAATTCAACAAAATTATCTAACCTAAATGTTTTTATTACTCAAAGTAATGGTAAGAAAGAAACAAGTTACCTGCGAGGCTCATTCCAAGCTGAGACACTGATGTTCAAATCCTCCGAAACTCTTCCTTGAAAGACATAAGAAAACACAGTTAATAATTAGATTTTTAATGAAAATATTTATCTAACGAATGTATGAAACTTACCAGCCCATTACGATGACCAGTATTAGCAAGAACAGTAGACAAACTACCTTTCCCAACCCATTCTTAACAACTGCTTTCTTCTTAGTTAACACACCCACGATTTTCTCTAGCTTAGCCACCTTCTGGTCACTCTCAAAGCATTGATCCTTGACCATCCTAAGTTGTGTATGCGTTTCAAGAAGCTCTCTTCTTGAATCGCCACATCCCACGATTTCCAGATGTGAGTGTCTCCATCGTCAACGTTGGAGCAGTAGAAGTACCTCCTTCCTGGATCTTTTGCAGTGTATGACGTCTCAACAACAGGATCACTACCGCAATAGCATATCCTCGGTATTCCTTCATCATCCTCAGGTTCCGTTCTGTACTGATCCGCCGCTGCATATGTGAAGCTACTATCGCCTTCATCCGCGTAGAGAGCAGCTTTTGCTTCAAGTAAAGAGTTCATGTCGAACTCCTCTGATGAAGAAGGCTGAGTGTAA